GAAAGTATATTTTCCACTGTGGCAAAATGTCTACTGCTTCAGGTCATACTGAAGGAAATTTACTTCAGTATTTTTACCTGCTCTGCCTGGTTACTGTCTGGATGTTTCAACTATTGAGCTTGGGAGCCCCAATGTATGCTTCCTTCCTTCCTGTTTGGAAAAAGATAGGGGTTTTGACTTTGTTATTAAAAGAGGAGTCAGTGCTTTCTTTCCTTCTTCCTGGGTGCTATAGATAAGATTTCTAGTCCAGTCTGATTACTTCTCTGAACAGCTTTTCTTTAAAAAAAAAAGTCTCTGATCAGAAGAGGAGGATAGCTGGAAAATATTTTCCAAGCATTCCTAGCCTGTGGACAGATCAGAGAAATAGAGAACCTTCTCCATTGCAATACTGAAAATAAAAATGAAGTTGCAGTGTTTTTTCAATCCTTTGGAGTTCTTGCCTCCAAATAGGCAGATGACGGAAGTCAATCAGAGCCCCATGGATGGGCTTTTGGGAGTAAAATGGAAAATGTTCTACAAAGAGGTACGGTCTCCTCTTATCACATTATTTAGCTCTGGGAAAAGCATAATGGGATTCCCTATGCCCTGCATAGAAATCAGGACCAGCCCAAACAACTGAGGCCTGGGCTGCTATGTCAGCTCATACCACTCCAGGACTTTTCTTGCAGCTGTTTTTCTCCAACTCATCTCCACATTCAGCAATCTTTGGTTCCTCTACCATCATTCTCTTGGTGGGGAAAAAGGAGATTTAGTTTATTTTTCCCGAGGCTTTGGGAAGTTGGGTGCTGTCATTTTTTTTTCTGCTCTCTCTCCTGGAATCTCTTCTGCCAAGTTGCCTATTTGCTTTGGTAGTGACCAATTCATAACTGGCTTCCGTTGTCTGGCTAGCTGACTGGGCTTTATCTCCTAGTGCTCACACTCCCCAAGATTATGAGTGTCCTTTGCATCTGCTAAAAAGTCACCAAAGTTGACGTCACCAGAAGCCTAGCCTGCTGAGAAGCATAGTTTTCAGCACTGCTGTATTGTGGAAAGGCTCAAAGCCCCTATGCTTTATTCTGCCACATATGAAAGTCCAATTTTGATTCTACCCCCATCTCCTTGCATGCTTTCCTGTATTAAGATACTGCCTCCTGCAAAGACATTGATCAGTGGGTAGTATGGCTGACAGAAGGCCCTTTCCCAACAGAATGGGGAGTACCAGTTAATATCTTTCACTCAGAGTTCCAAAGATGGAGCAGACAAAAGCCATTTCTTTCTCTAGAAAGCAGAAGAGAAAAGGAGGGAACGTCCTTCTTGGACAGAAATAAAGCTTAAACCAGTGTTTCTCAACCTTGAGTTTAAGGATGTGACTGGCTGGAGAATTCTGGGAATTGAAGTCCACGTATCTTCAAGCTGACAAGTTTGAGAAACACTGGCTTAAGCCTTACTTTCCAAGGAGAAGTTGCAAAGAGAGGGGGGTTTCCACCTTACCGATTTTCATTCTACAATTCTTTCAGACTTTTGCACTTTATTGAACCAATCCTCGCCCCACACATGGTATTATGACTCCAGTCTCGGTTTGAATGCTAATCAGTTGAAGAGGAGACTGGACTCAAATTGTATAGGTTCTCCTGCCTGTGTGTATGTGTGTGTGTGTGATTGGACTAGAATTGAATAGAATAAATTTATTGTCACTTTGAATGTAATTAGCCCACGTTAAAAATGAAATTTTGTTGCATACCGCTTTTAAAGGGTCACCACCTCCAGCATACACTACATCAAGGGTCTTCAAACTTGAACAGTTTAAGACTTGTGGACTTCAATTCCCAGAATTCCTCCTCCAGTCATGTTTGCTGAGGAATTCTGGGAGTTGAAGTCCACAAGTCTTAAACTTGCCAAGTTTGAAGACTTGTGGACTTCAACTCCCAGAATTCCTGAGTTAACATGACTGGAGGAGGAATTCTGGGAATTGAAGTCCACAACTCTTAAAGCTGTCAAGTTTGAAGACCCCTTTGCTACATAAACATAAGATAACTAAAATAAATACAAAATTATGTATATACCCACATATATTATATATGACACAGAGAAACAACCCCAAAGAGCTCCAAGGTCCCTTCCAACTCTATTTCGATTCTGGCTTAGTTTGACTTTATTCATACTGGAGTCACACATTTTGCAGCGAACGGTCCCCCCTCCCTCCAAATGATACTCCGGCTATTCCTCGATGGTTCCTCGCTACCCAGAGAGGATTCCACAACCCATAAGACACCGCCTCAACACACGCACACGTACGCCGCCCCGAAAAAGCCACCTCCTTCCACTGCGACCCGCGGCGCTTGCAAGGCCGCTCGTGCGAACCCTTCGACGCTGGTCTGCTGCTCCGTGTAAGGGAGGGAAAACCCCTCGCGGAGAGAGACCCCGAAAGGGCGGCGAATGGGGCTCCTTCACTCACCCTCTCATGGTGAACTTGGCCACCGCCAGCCGGCAGCCGGCGGCGCTCAGTTCGCTCTGGAAGTCGGCGTCGTTAGCGATCACCTTCACCCCGACCATCCCGGCAGCGACGGTCACGGGCGGCGGCGGGAGGGAGGCTAAACGGCAGGAAAAGCGCCGGCAATTCGTTGCCCGGTATCTGCACAGTCACGGCGGGAAGGAGGAGGAAGAGGAGGAAGACGCACGCCCAGCATGCACCACAGCATCTTTTTGCGCAGGCGCGCGCAGCTCGGCCCCTTTCCCCGCTCCTTCCTTCATTAACCTTTCCCCGAGCGAGTCATTCAGGCTCAAGGGATAGAGTGGTGAAGGGAGGGCGGGGGGGAGAGGGAAAAGATTGGGCAGAGCCGACTTCCGGTAAGCGTGAAGGAAAAAAAAAAAGAACGGAGGCGATTGGGCGCAGAACGGCGCCGGTCTAAGCGTGGTGCCTCTCTATGGTGAGCTGCTTGTAAGAAGTTGGGGGTGAGGAAGATGGAGAGCGGAAGGCCTCCTTGTTTTCAGGCGGAAGTCGACTTCATCAAGGGCTGGGGCCTTTTAGGTTCTGGAAAGGAGCAAGGTTGCCATCTTGGTTGAGGGCATGCGATGTATGAATTAGAACAAGGGTCTTCAAACTTGGTTAAGTTTAAGACTCGTGGACTTCAACTCCCAGAATTCCTGTGGCAACATGACTGAAGGAGGAATTCTGGGAGTTGAAGTCCACAACTCTTAAAGCTGTCAAGTTTGAAGACCCCTGAATTAGAAATACAGGTCTTTTGGTGAGATTCCGTAGTGTGTGTGTGTGTGTGTATGTATGTATGTATGTATGTATGTATGTATATATATATATAGAGAGAGAGAGGGGAGGGGTAGAGGGTGAGGCTTAAACCTTTGTGGTATGCTAATTTGCTTTTATTAGGATCCTTTTACATCTGGGAACATTTGCCAGAGAAAATTAAATAGCATCAGTAAAGGTGGTGCTTTTACTATTGTATATGTTGTTTTACGCAATTCGTTACTTAATACTGTGATTAGCTCTTGGAGCATATCAAAATTCAAACTGTAAACTACAGAAGAATGACAGAAATGCCATAATTATGGCATTCATTACTTGAATCTCAGCTTCAGTGAAACAGTGGAAATTTAATTCAATGTATATGGCTGTCTAGCTTGAAACCATGACTTTGAGCAGATAGCAACAGTTAAAATATGTACAGCATAATCAGTGCAGCCAAGCTAAAATCTTTATCTTTATCTCACAGGTTCTTTTTTCAAGAGACAACTGGACATTCTGGTTTTTCTTTGGAAATGTTTTGCTTCTCATCCAAGAAGCTTCTTCACTGTCTGGAAGGAGTCCTTCCATTCCCCACCATCCAATCAGAGCTGAAGAAGCTTCTTGGATGAGAAGTGAAACGTCTTCAAAGAAAAAAACCAGAAAAGTCCAGTTGCCTCTTGAAAAAAGCATCTTTGGGACAACCATGACCTGGATGCCTGAGAATCTCCATAGACACCTATTTTTGTCTCCATCTTTACAATTTATATTGTTTTATTTGCTTCCAAGTATTCTTGATGAATGCATTTTATTTTTTCTTATGTACACTGAGAGCATATGCACCAAAAACAAATTCCTTGTGTGTCCAATCACACTTGGATAATAAAGAATTCTATTCTGTTCTGTTCTTGTTCTTGTTCTGTTCCTGTCCTGTCCTGTCCTGTCCTATCCTATCCTATCCTATCCCTTTTGCACCGGTTTGTGGAATCTGAGAATCAGCTTGATATCAGCAAGCATTAAATTGCTGGAACCCAAATTATCCTCCCAGGAATCCCTCCCAGACGTGCTCCCTTACATGTCTCATCTCCCGCCCCATGAACATTTCAGTCTAGCACTGACGATGCTACCTAGCTGGGTACAACAAAGACTATTACAAAGTCTGCACTACTACTACTACTGTTAATCTTCTCATTACTCCTTATCACCCATCCCCTCCCACAGTTACTGTATGACTGTAACTTTGCTGCTTGTATACTTACGATTTATATTGTTTCATAGTATGATTTGATTGCTTATTGTACCCTATGACCATCATTAAGTATAGTACCTGATGATTCTCGACTATTGACGAATGTATCTTCTTTTATGTATACTGAGAGTATTTACACCAAGACAAATTCCTTGTGTGTCCAATCACACTTGGCCAATAGAAGAATTCTATTCTATTCTATTCTATTCTATTCTATTCTATTCTATTCTAACGAAACGTCTGCAAAAACAAAAAAACCCAAGCAAGCTCAGAAAGCACCAAGGATCTCTCCCCCCTCAGTTAACCCTGAGCTACAAATAATCTCCTTTATCGATATATTTCACTCTGCTCCCTCCCTCAACCCGCGCTCGCTTTCCCCCCTCCCCACCCTACGGAAGGCGAGGCATCGATGCGACGATGCATCATCACGGACCCCCCACCCCACCCTCCTCTTTCCATCACGCCTCCCCGTCTCCATGGCTACCAGCCTCTCGCGGGCCAGAAGGCGGCTGCCGCCAAGCACCCCGCCTTTTGCGACACTTGCGGCAGCCGTGGTGGCCGCGGCCAGTCCCGTCAGCTGATTTCCAGCGGCGGCTGCGTTGAGCCCCGGCGGAGGGGCGAGCAGGAAGCGGAGCCGGCGAGGGCGGTCGCGGAGGCTCAAGGCGACCTTCTTGCAGCAGGAGGAGACGCGGGAGGGTGCTCCCCGCGGACGAAGCAGGTAGTAGTCCGTGTGGGGTGTGTGTGTGTGTGTATATGTGTGTGTAGCAGCCCGACTCCCGTTTAAGGCTGCGTTAAGGTTGCCATTCGGGAAGAAGATAACCGTCTGCAGCCTCCAGGCTCCCTCTGTGACTTATGGTTTGCTTCATCTTTTCGTTTCCATTGCTGACAGCAGGATCCCGGGGCTTCCTCCGCCCCGCTTTTTCTCCTTCACCCCCTCGTTTGATTCTCTCCCCCCCCCCCATTTCAGAAGCGGGAATTTGTGTGTGTCTGTGTGTCTTTACAACCTGGAAGGATTTATAAGCACCGCTTCAACAACACTACTACCCCTTATCCCCTTCTATCTCCTCTCTCAAGTGTCGTTTTGATGCTGTTTTTTTTTTTTAGGATTATTTTCAGGGTGAGTTCATGCGAGTTGCCTTATCTGGGAAGCAAGATGTCATTTTCTGGAGAAATCCACTCATTTGGCCTCCCACCACTCCGGGTGCTTCGAGACAGCCTTCTCTCTCTCTCTCTCTCTCTCTCTCTCCCTCTTCCTCTCCCTCTCTCTCTCTCTGGATCTCTTCAAGCAGGTTTCCTACCGCCTCCCTTGGATCGATCGATGGATCGATTATGTGCCATCAAGTCAGTTTCACCTCCCACCGACCACAGAGATGCATTTCCTCCATGAGGATTTTGCCCCCCCCCCTCCTCAGCTGGTCTTCCAGAATTGCACCCATTAACTGCCATAATTCGGTTCATTTGCTCTGCTGCTTTTCTTTCCTTTCACTTTTCCCCATCATAAGATCCTTTTCCAGAGAACTGGGTCTTTGCATAAAGTGTCAGAGATGGGATAATGTGAGCTTGCTCATTTGTGTCCTGAATGAGGACTTTGGGCGGTTTCTGACTATCCTTGAGATAAGAGAAGAGAAGAGAATTATATATAAGAAAAAATATTTATATTTATTAACGCAAACACACATATTATATATATAGAGAGAAAGATAGATAGATAGATAGATAGATAGATAGATAGATAGATAGATAGATAGATAGATAGATAG